TTTCTGTCTTGATAGAGGTATAAAACTTATACCTTGGCTTCTATTCACTCAGATCTTCATTTGAGCTTGTATATTGTCACTTTTGGGCCATTTCCAAGGTCATTCCGAGATTTGAACTCTTGGGGATGTAAGGACTTCAGATCTGGGCACTCTTGAGCTTTAGGAGCTCAAAGTTGTCACCTTTATTCATCCATGGCCCTATTCCATGACTTGGACCTCCATTTTAGCATGTGGTGGGTGTTTTAGCTTCATAACACCATGCATGCACGTAAAGTTAGCAACTTTACGTGTAATGCTAGCCTAAGGAGTCCAGATCTATGAGTTGGAAGTATTAGAATTGATTAGAATTGATTGTTTGGATTTGGCATGTGAGGGACTCGACGAGTGGTTCTTGTGACTCGGTGAATCGGGTCGTGGACCCCAAACCCTTTTCTGGTCTGAGTGAAACTGTTGAGTCTAGGAGATGACTCAGTGAGTTGGGCAAGATTAGGACTCGAAAATTGAAGAACTCGACGAGTCCAAGGAGGGACTCGACGAGTTAATACGTTTTGTCCCGATGTTATGACAGGAAGAACTCGACGAGTCTGGGAAGGGACTCGACGAGTTGACTCGGTTGACCATGAGTCTGAGTAGTACATGAACTCGCCAAGTTAGGAGATAACTCGACGAGTTGGGGTTGACTCGGAGTTGACCTTGACTTTGACTTTGACCAGGATGTTGTCTTTGACCAAGGGTAAAATGGACATTTTACCCTGAGAAAGATTATTAGATTTTTGACTAAGTATTATTGTGATATTGATATCCGGGGAGTCGTTGGAGCAACTATCAGATATTCCTCACCGCGAGATTTTGCAGTCAGCTTTGCGAGGTGAGTTTTCTCCTGTAGGAACGGGTCTAAGGCACCAAGGCCGGCCCATTTAGATAGTAGTAGTTCCGGACCACGGTCCGATGCCGGGCGGGGCCCGAAGTAGGTTCATATGTTTCCGGATTTCGATCCGATGTCGGGGCGGTCCCGAGGAATGCTTGTATGCTTGTATGCTCGATGTCTTTATGATTCTTGCATGTGTCTGTTATGTGTTATGTGTTTCGAGCTTAGGACCGATGTCGGGGCAATCCCGAGGAATTTCTAGTTAATATGTTATGATAGTATGATCCAGACTCCGGTCTGATGTCGGGGCGGTTCCCGAGGAATGTTAGTATGTTTCCGGATCTCGGTCTGATGTCGGGCGGGGCCTGAGGAATGTTTACATGCTAGTATTATGTGCTTATGTTATATGTTTGTTGATATGTATATGTATGCCGAGATCTGCTCAATGCCGGGCGGGGCCCGATGCCGAATAGGGTTTGATGTCGGGCGAGGCCCGATGTCGGGAAAGCCGATGCCAAGCTTGACTCGATGTAGCAGGGCGGGGCCCAAGATATGTTATGTGATATGTGTATGGTATGTGGTAGTTGGGGAGACTCACTAAGCTTCGTGCTTACAGTTTTCAGTTTTTGTGTCAGGTACTTCCACTAGCAGGGGGAAGGGCTCGGGATGATCGAATGACACCCACCATAGTTTTAGTCTGGGATTGTTTAGACTCTTATATTTTTCTCACATGTTGGTGATACAGTATTTGACATGATGTTTTGAGAGATATGGTTTGTGATTTATTATGATATTGATGGGTTATGGTTTTTACTAAATGATTTTAAAAAGAAATTTTTGGTCTGTATTTTTGGGATGTTTCACTAATGTAGAGAAGATATTAATTTTGATAATAATGATGATGAGGGTGAACAAGGTAAGAGGGTAGACGTAGATGATGTTTATTGGACTGTGGGGCTTGATACGCCCTTAGAGAGCATTCATGACTCCATTGATGCCTTTGAGTCGGGGACCGCCTAGTACTTTGATTGAGAACTCAATTTCACCATCCAGGGCATCTATTGATCATGAGTTCAATTGGCTTGAAAGCCTTGGAGATGCTTTTTGATGCATGTGGTGCCAAGCATGCAAGAGTCTCTTAATCGAATCCATATATGTTGATATGGGAGGTGGAGTATGATATTGATGATGATTTGTATAAGGACGTAAGATATACTCCACCCTCGTCCACTATGATTGTAACTGGAGAGGGTCACACAGATAATAAGGTTACAGAATTGGAAACCATTTTCGGGAATCATGTGGATGTGATGTTGGAACCGATTAGGGTGCCCGCTCTTCTTGTCACTAAAGGTTATGTAGTGGCAGTTCTAATAAGCTCATCGGATTGAAGCCAATATATGTGAATGTACAGACCATACGGGAAGATAATAACATTGTTCACCCTGTGACAATAGTGCATTTTATGGAGCAGTTGATTCCCTCACCTATTGATGACTATTTTGTGAAGATATTGTAATCGCAAAAATGTTGCAGCTTCTTTGAGTTCAAATCACACAACAGGTTGTCGTAACGGAAGATGTGATTTGGCGTGTATACCACCTTATTGATGAATAATGTCCATCTGTAGCACGAGCAAATGGATTACCCGAAGAAATTGCTAGAGCAAGGGAGTGTTCGCAACGTGGCGGATGCTCAGTTGGACCAATCCACTTGGCAGCTCACAAAGTGTTAGGATTGGCTCAAGTGTGAGGCCCATGTTGTCGACGAGGAGCACATGCAAAGACTTTCGAGAAGGGGTGTGCTCTAAACTAAAAATACGAAGATTAGGACTGATGTAAAAAAATACAATGTTGGATTAAAGTTAGTGAATTTTTTTTAAGCCAAAACAACTATAATTGAGTATTAGTCTATTAGATTAATGAATTTTTTTAGTGTGAACGAAAGAATATAATCGAGTATATCTCATATGTTTTATATGTATTTTAGTGATAGGAAAGATGGGTGGGGGCTAGAAATCCAAAGTCATGAGCTCCGTGGCCCGCCACCTCGTGCACCACACGACACACAATAGAGTGATTCTGGGCTACTACTTCGTGCACCTACACACAAACATATGATTTTGTACATCTACATCACTACACCCACTATACCATACAATCATACACTTACATGCTTCCTTCTTTCATTAAACTACAAATTCTAGAAAATAACAAAATATTCAATTTCGTTTTATAGTAATAACATCTTTATCAACAAATGAATAACGTATTTATAGTTTATTACAGCTAGTAGCATGTAATTATAGAATATATAAAATATGCTCGTTTTGTCACGCTATATACTTTATTTAATTAAAAGTAAAGTTTGTATACACCATAAAAGTAATATTTGTGATAAATTCAAAGCTTTATAGGATTCCAAACGACAAGAAATGGCACGTACGGCGTCAACATCAACTTTGAGCTACCATTAAAATTTAAAACTCATAAAATCTATAAAATATCACAAGTTTGAATTTAGACTCAAGCCTTAACAAATGTCATAATCAGTTATTTATAGTTAATGTATTATATTAGAGGTTTGTTATGTCATGGTTGGAGGGCGGATTATAATTATTGAACTGGAGCCTAATTTTGTTGAAAAATCTAGAGTGTAATGTAAGCTAGCTAATGACATCGTTTTTTTTTGTACCAAATATGTCAACTATGTCTATCCAAACACAAATAAAATTATTACACATATTATAATTATCAAATCAACAAAAACACCTATCTAGATAGAGATCAGTGATGCACAACAATAAATTTTCGAAGTTTTACATATTTTAAAAGGTTACAAGTTGTCAACAACTAGTTTGTAAGGTATATCTATTTGAATTTATCAATTTTTTTAGTTTTTTGTATAAATTTTACATAAAAAGCATGAAGATATACTCTATATATATATTATTGTAGATTGATAGAATATTTTTACAACCAACATCTTTTAAGAGAATGGACACTTTTGTCAATCGTGTTGAAAGCTTGACGCCACCTAAAACAACCCCAGCCCTTAAAAAAAGGGCAACCCTACTTCTCTTTGTTATATATTTTCTTTTCTTTTTCTACGAAAAGCCCCTAAGACGTGGTAGATACCATGTGTTTTAACACTTATAAAGTGGTCCAATTTGGGTGAGGCACATAAAGAGGAAAAGAAATATAATCAAACACAAAGTTTGACCGCACCCCCTTGATTCGTGAAAGCAACCCCATTTCCTCCAAATTCAAGGAGCCATTTCCAATAACCATTAATCTTATACTTAATGGAACTCATACGTCTTCACTTTTCATAAAGCACAAAATAAATGTTTGGTCCCGTTTATTATGTACGATATAACAAGACAAAATATAACAATCGTGTACTGTGTTTGTTGTTAGACAGAAACTTGCTTTCAATTATTTGTCTATACAAAAGACATGATATCTCGTACAATTTATACAAACTTATCTGATTCAGTCCAGTTCAACTCAGTACAATTCAATATCTCTAACCTTTTGCTAATATCTCTAACCTTTTGCTTATACAATACAATAGTTCTTTTTTATATATAGTAGATGTGCATGCGTGGGTGGGTAGAGACATACAAAATGAAATCATGGATAACATGTGAGGAATTAATATACATGAATCTAGAACCCCCACAAAGTGTTAAAAACATTTAATAATACCTAACAAGTCATAACGGAACCCTTCACCTATAACCGATTTCTGTACTAATACGTAGTGTCATTCTGAAAAAAGAATCCAACAAAAACCTACCCAAGGTCCAAATTCGACTTTTTAAGGTTTTTGTTTTTTATTTTCTTTCACCACTCACTACTCAAATACCTACACCTGTACACCCCATCCCCCCTCTCCCCCTCTTTTCTTTATAGTTTTACTGAAGGACCACTGCTTTATTTTATTTCACACCTTTTTTTTTTCTTTCTTTCTCTCTCTATTCTTCTATTCTTTTCACTCCTTATTTTGATCTTAACGCTTTGCAGTTGATCTTGAAAAAGACAGTCTTTTTTTTGCTTGTTCATTTGCATGCGTATTTGTTAATGGGTGATGCAGAGAGAAAGTGAAAGAAAGGAATTGAGATTGTAAGATGAAGAGATCGTTTTCGTTTAGCTTTCTGGTTATGGTGACGTGTTTTTGTTCTGCTTTGGTTATGAGTCAAGAAGACGATGTTCAGAGATTATTGTCGTTCAAGAAATCGTCGGTTGATTCTGATACAAACGGTGTTTTATCAGACTGGATGTCTACATCGACGTCGTCGCCGTGTTCATGGCGGGGGGTGGTTTGTTCGAAAGACAGCCGCGTCACCGCCGTCAATCTCACCGGTGGATACCTCTTCGGTACACTTAACCTCTCTGATCTCATGTCGATTTCCACTCTTTCTGATATTTATTTCGCCGGAAACTATTTCTCCGGGAACCTTTCTTTCTCTTCTTCTTCTTGTTCGCTTCAAACGATTGATTTATCGGCGAATAACTTCTCGGCGACTTTGGACGTTCAGTCGTTGTTTCTGACATGCACTAGCCTTCGTTCTCTAAGCTTATCAAAAAACAAACTTTCCGATTCTTCAGTTCTGTCTGTTTCTCTCTCCAACTGTGCGAATATGATCATGCTTAATTTCTCCGGCAATAAGTTCGCCGGAAACCTTCCGAGCACTCTCGCTTCTTGCAAGTATCTTTCATCTCTAGACCTTTCCAACAACTGGCTTTCAGGTGATATACCTATTGGTTTTATCCCCAAAGGACCATTCACTCTTAAATTCCTTGATCTTTCCGGCAACAACCTCACCGGAAAATTCCAAAATCTTGACTTTGGGAGCTGCCAGAATCTTACTGTGATTAATCTTTCTAGAAACGAAATCTCCGGGAGTGGTTTCCCGTTTAGCTTCACAAACTGTCATCTTCTCGAGCGGTTTGACATCAGCCACAATGCTTTACGTATGAAGATTCCAGGGGTGATGATCGGAAATTTTAAGAGCTTAAAAAGCCTGTCGTTAGCTTACAATCAGTTTTTCGGGGAGATTCCGTCGGAGGTTGGAAACGCTTGCAGCACACTCGAGGAACTTGATCTTTCCGGCAACCAATTAACTGACGCGCTTCCGTCGACATTCCGTTCATGTGCTTCACTCTCCACGCTCAATCTGGCTCACAATTATCTCTCCGGCGATTTTTTAACGACTGTCGTAAGTTCCATGTCGAGTTTGAAGTATCTGTCGGCGTCGTTCAACAACATCACCGGGAATTTACCGATGGCGTTAGCAAACTGTAGTCAGCTTCAAGTCATCGACTTGAGTTCTAATGATTTTACAGGGAACATACCTTCTGAATTCTGTTCAGCAACGACGCCGTTTTCGTCACTCGAGAAATTACTGTTGGCTAATAATTACCTATCGGGAATTATACCAAGTAGTCTCGGAAGCTGTAAAACTTTGCAAACGATTGATCTCAGTTTCAACAGCCTCACCGGTGCAATTCCGTCGGAAATATGGAATCTCCCGATGATTTTGGACGTCGTAATGTGGGCTAATAACCTCACCGGTGAAATCCCGGAGGGAATTTGCGTCAAAGGAGGAAACCTTCAAACGTTGATTTTGAACAACAATCTTATCACGGGAACACTCCCGAATTCAATCGCGAGTTGCACGAATCTGCTTTGGGTTTCGCTTTCGAACAACAAACTGACCGGAGAAATCCCAAACGGAATCGGGAATTTAATCAATCTCGCTATTCTTCAATTGGGGAACAATTCACTCACCGGCGGCGTTCCGTTAGGGCTTGGGAAGTGTAAAAGCTTGATTTGGCTCGATTTGAATAGTAATTCTCTCGATGGGATGCTCCCGAAAGAACTTGCCGATTCAGCCGGGTTTGTTTCTCCGGGACCGGTCTCTGGGAAACAGTTTGCGTTCGTGAGGAATGAAGGTGGCACCGCCTGTAGATTCGCCGGAGGATTGGTTGAATTCGAAGGAATACGAAAAGAGAGACTCGAAGGGTTTCTGAATTACCATTTTTGTCCATCCACCAGAATCTATTCCGGTTTGACAATGTACAATTACGGGAGTAACGGCAGCATGATCTATCTTGATCTGTCGTACAATCTGTTAACCGGAAGTATTCCTGAAAGCTATGGTTCCTTAAGCTACTTGCAGGTTTTGGATTTGAAGAACAATAATCTCAGCGGAGATATTCCATCCAGTCTTGGGAACTTAAAAACAGCTCTTCTTCTCGATCTTTCTCATAATTCTCTGCAAGGATTCATCCCGGGATCATTAGGAGGTCTCTCATTTCTCAACGACTTCGACGTGTCAAACAACAATCTCACCGGCCCGATCCCTGCCGGCGGACAGCTCACCACTTTCCCGGCGGAGAAATACCAGAACAATTCCGGTCTCTGTGGGTTGCCATTGATTCCTTGCGGTTCCGTAAACGGCCATTCCGGTGTTAAACATGGACGAAAGAGAACAGCCTCCATGGCCACAGGTGTGGTGGTCGGGATTTTGGTGTCTCTTATATGCATCATGATCCTTACATTTATTCTATTCAAAATGAAACGATACCAAAAGAAGGTGGAAACTCGAGATAAATACATCGAAAGCCTGTCGACTTCCGGAAGCAGCAGCTGGAAACTCTCCGGTGTTCCAGAACCTTTAAGCATCAACATCGCCACCTTCGAGAAGCCATTGAGAAAATTAACATTCGGCCATTTACTCGAAGCTACAAACGGTTTCAGCGCCGACACATTAATCGGCTCCGGTGGGTTTGGGGACGTTTACAAAGCCCAATTAAAAGACGGAAGTGTCGTCGCCATTAAAAAGCTTATACACGTCACAAGTCAAGGAGATAGAGAATTCATGGCGGAAATGGAAACAATCGGGAAAATCAAACATCGTAATCTGGTTCCTTTATTAGGGTACTGTAAAATCGGAGAAGAACGACTTTTGGTTTACGAGTACATGAAATGGGGAAGTTTAGAAGCTGTTCTTCACGATCGAGTCAAAGGCGGTGGTTGTGTTCCAATTCTAAACTGGGGATCGAGAAAGAAGATAGCTATTGGATCAGCAAGAGGGTTAGCGTTTCTTCACCATAGCTGTATACCTCATATTATTCATCGTGATATGAAATCCTCCAATGTTCTTCTCGATGAAGATTTTGAAGCTAGGGTTTCAGATTTTGGAATGGCGAGACTTGTGAACGCGTTAGACACTCATTTAAGTGTGAGTACACTCGCCGGAACTCCAGGATATGTCCCGCCGGAATACTACCAGAGTTTCCGGTGTACTGCAAAAGGAGATGTTTACAGCTATGGAGTTGTGCTTTTAGAGCTTCTCTCCGGTAAGAAACCGATTGATACAATGGAGTTTGGTGATGATAATAACCTTGTTGGATGGGCGAAACAGATGCAGAGAGAAAGAAGAATACGTGATATTTTGGATCCTGAATTGTTATCGGATCAATCATATGAATCTGAATTGTTTCATTGTTTGAAGATTTCGTTTCAGTGTGTTGATGATAAGTCATGGAGAAGGCCGACAATGATTCAAGTGATGGCAATGTTTAAAGAGTTGCAGGAAGATTCAGGGAGTGATATTCTTGACGGGATGTCGATGAAAAGTTCAGTGATTGATGAATCTCAAGAGAAAGATCACAACTGAGCCTTCGTTTTTACCCAAAGCATTTGGAATTTGTGTTCCTTTTATGGTTCTTACATCTGTTTTTCTGTCAAAATTTTGGTAATTGATGAAATGTTGCAAATTTGTTCTTTGTATATGTTATGTGAATATTTGATGAAATGTTAAGAATTCAACGAGAACATTTCTCAAACTGTATAGTTTTTTGTAAATAAGTTATCAAAACTTTATGTCTTTATGGGTGTGATAAATCAAAATCCAACACCTTTTGTCTGTTTCATTTTAATTTAATGAGCTTAACGAGTTCAGCTCGTAATATTGACATTATGTGGAACTTGTTTAGATTGTTAGTGTTGATTAGTCATAGGTTGTTTGATATGCCTCTTACTAGTTTTAATAAGAGGTTGGGTTTGATTCAGTTAAATTCAGATTGTTTAATATCACAACTAAAAACGTCTGATTCGGTCCTATGGCATCTGATATATAGGTCGGATAAAGATATTAAGTATGATTCAATCAACAACTATCAAACAATCTCTTATACATAAGTTTACCAAGACTTAATAAAACTATCAAAGGGTTCCCTTAAATAAAAATCTCCTTTGTGTGATATGAGTACAAATTACAAAACCAGGACTTAAGAAAACTATCAAGGTTCCCTTAAATAAAAATCATTTTTGTGTGATATGAGTACAAATTACAAGAAGAGCAATTGTGGTAATCAATGATAAAAGTTAAAGATGATTTTTGGGGGTTTGGAATAAAATGAATTGTTGATGTTCTCATTCTTTTTATTTGTCTTGGATCTAGAGAAATGTCACTTTTTAATCGTTTTATGTGAATACTTTTTAGCCATGTTGTATGTATCATCATTACACATTGTTGGATTAGAGTGTAATTTTTCTTACTTAAGATGTGGTTTGATTGATTATATTCTACTTGTTGTAGCACTATGCCCTTTAATCCGGTTTAGGTAATCATGCTACATGTTTGACGAAATTTCCTATTGGAGAAGTGGGACCCAGTCCCTTTCTCTAAAGGCATAAAGATCTACATAATTTTAAGTTGATCCTAGACATAAAAACTTACAATTAATGCGTGTAATTATATTTTCCTTAATTAACAGGTTTAAATAACTTTACTCTCGCTATGGCCAATGTATTTATTTTTTTACCAATACTATACGCGTACTTATATTTCTTTACAAGTAATAGCAATGTATTTTCTGTTACCGTATCTCATATCAGTGTGAGTCTTCCATCTCTCCATGAGGAATATATGCCAGTATATACTATATGGCTATTATGGATAAAAAAAGATAAAATATATTAAAAAGTACATTGCTATTTCTTTAAATATGTCCTTTATATATATATATATATATATATATATATATATATATATATATATATATATATATTCCTTTATGTACTTAAATGATCAACTATCACGAAACCCCACCTAAAAATTATGAGTTTAAAGATTAAAGATCCATGCAAAGAAGCTAAATATGGAAATACTAATCTTGATTGATAGTAATCAAAAGTTACTTGAGGCCCAAGTTGTGAATTTTGAAGGGGGTTTAAGCACAATCAAAGGTGGTTGTGGTGGTGATGTTGATGGTGGACCAGTGGTGGTGGTGATGATGATTGAGCATCATATTTAAAATCTCTTTAATGGTAGTGGGTTTTGTTCTTTAACTTTTAAAGATTTCATCTATGCAAGAAAAGCATTTCAGCCTTTTGGAAAATATCTTTATCTTATAACCCAACAATTTTCTTTAAAAATTCTAATCATAAGCATCCATTTTGAAGATAATTACAGAATGAGAAAAATTAAAGTTTAAAGCATGTAAAGAGTAAGTTGACTTTTTAGTGACGCTTCTGTACAAGTTTTGGAATATGGAATTCTAAAAAGAGAAAGAAGGGGGGTCTGGCATGCTTTGTTACACAAAAAAATGGTCAAACTATCTTTTTGACTAGAATAGATTGATCCAAAAATAAAACAGGAGTAAAGTGTAGTGGTCATAGGATTTAAAGACTAATAATATAGTGTGCATGGGTGAAAATGACAATTTTCTTTCCATTTGCAATCAATATTTACTAAGCATTATTAAAAACTGGTTCTAAAAGTTGGCTCAATCTTTAAAATAGTATTGTTAATTAAATAAAAAATAATATAATAATATGTAATAAGTATGACAGCTATAAACATGCACTCATAATAACACATGTAGCATACACCATAATAAACATGGAAGCTCAATAATGAAAAGTCTAAATGCAATGGTGCCTTGTAAGTTATAACCACGTAACATTCATCTTTATCACATATTTCTGAAACTAATAGACCACTAAGTAAAAAGTAGCATCCCTCTAAGTGGACTCATTCAACTAATAATAATTGTTCAAAAACTACATAGTTGGGATTGAACTTCAACATCCTCTTATGGAAATGGAATCACTAAAACTTAACTTATTGTTTCCTTTTAATAGATTTATTTGTTTTCTTAATTGTTAGAAGTATTTTGGGGTTTTGATTTATTATAAATATAGAGAATATGTTAAAAGTTTGAGATTGAACACTTTGAATGAATCAGAGATTAATAACAAGGATTGTTTATATAAGTTTTGGGGATTCAACCAGAGGAATCCATTGATTTCTGCTTCGAATTGAGGTATCATCATTCGGTATTTTTTATTCAAGCTCGCATAATCTGGATCTAGAGATTATAGAACTATTTTAGCTAAAAAGCTTTCAGGGTTTCGGATCTAGGGCTTATTTTGCTACGCGTTTAGGGGAACGAATAACAGGAATATAACATCAAACAAGCTACACTATAAATGCAACTAATACGATTAACATAGAAAATGGCTTTGATGCTGTAATAAAAACCTGATTGGACAGATTTTAATGAGTAGCGGCCATTCTCTCTCTGCTCCGGGAATTTCCCACGGCGGAGGACGGGAGGAGAGGTGGAGTGCAAAACAAGACAATCATCGACAAATCAAATGAAGATTATCTGAAGAAACTTTTGCGTAAACGTCTGGTTCATGATTCGACAGACGAAGTTGTAAATTTGAATTTTGAAGAAAAATATTGGCGCCAGATCTTTCTGTATTAAGAACCTTATGATCCTTTTGTTTTCCTATATGAATGAAATAAGTCCCTCTTCTATGTTTTTGAACATACATAGTCATTTTGTATTGATCCTATTAACCAAATTCAACAAAGCACAAAAAATTAAAGCAAGTCCACTCATATGTGCCATTAAACTACTATCCCAAATCAACCAAAAGAACACGAAAACCTAATTTTTATATGAGTAAATTAAACGAATTCTCCTATGTCAAAAATGCATGTTCAGTCTCTATTTTTAAAAATTAACTCGAACCATCCCTTAAAACGTAGAAAATTATATGTTTAGTCCCTAACAACATAAAATGACTATACTGCCCTTTTCAAATTCTTTTTTATTTATTTTTAACGTTTTTTCTAGTTTTAATTATTAAAAAATATTTTAATTTAATTTGTTTATTTATTATTAATTAATTTTTTTAGAAAACATAAACATTCTCTCCCACCCCATTAAAAATACTCTCACCCCTCTTTCTCCCTTCTCTCCATCACAAACCACCGGTCACCACCTCTCCACCGGAAACCACCGTCCAACGCTGCAAACTCCACTTCCCTCTGTCGGCTACCACAAGAAGTTATCGTCTCTCTCTCTCTCTCTCTCTCTCTCTCTCTCTCTCTCTCTCAGACGACCAACATAATCACTACATCTGTTAAAAGCCTAATCTCCGACGACCAACACCATCATCCGATTCCTTAACGTCTTCGTCGGAGATTTTAGACCACCGAAAAGTAGAACCTGTATTTTGTCCCTCTATTTACCTGATTTTTGTGACTCTCTTCACCAAATCTATACAACTACCACCTCAAATCTAGGGTTTCGACGGATGAAGAACAGATGTGTCGTCTTCAACAGGTAAAGAAGATATTTGTTGGGTTCAATGGCGCTACGGTCTTAAACGAAGTTATGGTCTTCAAGTGGTGATGACGGCGCTAGGGTTTCAATTAAAGATCAGGGGATCAGAGGAAGAGAAACTGACGGGGGTGATGCTATTTCTGATGTGGTCCATGTCTCCGGTGGAGGTGGTACTCATCGAACGTGAACAGAGAAATGGAAAAAAGGTTTTGGTCCGGCGGTCAAGAAGGTTTCCGATGGTGGCTGTCAACAAGTCCCGGTGGTGTTTCATTTTCCAATGGTGGTGCAGCCGGTTCTCGGTAGTGGTGGTGGTTAAATATTCTTTAACAAAAAACTAGAAAGAGTAGTATATGAAATCAGAAATATAAAAGATAAATTGAAAAGTAATAAAAAAAAATTAATAATTAAAATTAATCAAATATATAAAAAATAAATGAAAAATAAATTGAAAAGGGCATTATAGTCATTTCATTTCTTGAAAGGGATGAAGCGTGCAAATTTAAACTAACGAGGGATTAGACGTGCAACTTTTAACATAACGAGGGACGGTCCGAGTTAATTTTTGAAAATAGGGATTGAACGTTCCTTTTGGCACCTGGACGAGGGACGATTCGTGTAATTTACTCTTTTTATATCTCAAAGCACACCAAAAAGCATCAGACAAAAACAACCAAATGACAAGTGATTTCAATCTCTACAAAAGACATTTAATGTAAAAAAAATCAATAAAAACCCCATAATGCCTAAGCTCCTACAAACTACACCAATCTTGTAGCGTGGTTCTCTAAACGACAACAAGTTATGTCCTAACCAATTGTGGAAGCCGAATACCAATGCAGTGTCGAGTCTTCGTGGCTCTAAAGCCTCCTTCGTAAACTTCATGTTTATCTTCGATCAACAACATTGGTGTACGTGACGTTTCGAGTCTTCGTCACTCCAAAGTCTTCTTCGTAAACTTCATGTTTTTCATCGATCAGCAACATCGGTGTACGTGACAATGTAACGCCCGCAGATTCGGGCTAGTCAATTTAGA